GGGGGGGGGATGCAAAGTAACACGAAGACAAAAACCAGTACCTTCATTTGCTTTCTAATTTAAGTTGTAAATTAATTGAACTTTTAAATTTCGAAATTACAGCTGATAAGCTGATAACTTGCTAGTTTCACTGTTTATTAGAGCGTATTTACAGGGTCGTGAAGACGAGTGAGATAAAGGGATGTGGTATATATGGTTGTTATAACCCCAAACATAAATGTAATCAGTATTTAAATAGAAATACTCTTATCAATTTTTGTTTTTTGAGACAGGGTCGCACTATGCAGTTCACTATGTAGCCCAGGCTGGCCTCAAACTCATGGTGATCTTCCTGCCTCAGCCTCCCAAGCCTTGGGATTACAAGCATGTGCCACCATGCCCAGCTTCAATTCTTTTTTTCTGCTGGTGCTTTATGAATCATGACAAAGTTTAAAGAATGTGCCAGTTACACTAGGAAGTATATGAAGATAATATAATTTAAATTTCTTAAGGACATTTTTATTAGAGCATATTAGGCTGAGTTTAATTTTGGCATATTTGTGCATCTCATAACATACTTTGATCATTCTTTCCCTTATTCTCTCCCATTTCTTTTCCTCTTGCCCATCCTCTTCCTCTGCCCTAATAATCTCCCTTCTACTTTTCATGCATCTCTTTTTTGCCCCCTAGTTTTCTCATATGAGGAAAAATATGTGATACTTGATCTTTGGAGCCTAGCTTATTTCACTTAACATGATGTTCTTCATTCTTTTTTAAAACCTGTTTATTTGGTGGTGGGGATCAAACCAGAGACCCAGGCGTGCTAGACAAGTGCTCCACCACTGATGAGCTATATCTCCAGCCCTCTTCATTCATTCTTTTTCTTCCTGTTCTCCTTTCTTTCCTTTTTTTTTTTTGGTACCAGGGATCAAACTCGGGACCTTCTGCTTGCAAGGCAGGTAGTGGAATCTTTCTTTCTTTCTTTTTTTTTTTCTTCCCCAGCACTGGTGATTGAACTTGGCCTTTGCACTGAGCTACATCCCCAATCCTTTTTAAAGTTTTGAGAAAGGGTCTTAAGTCACCAAATTGCCCAGGCTGGGCTCAGATTTGCAATTTGTCGGCCTCACCCTCCTGAGTGCTGGGATTGCAGCTACATGCCATCAGGCCTGGCTATATACCATGCAGTTTTTATAAAATATAAAATGTACAGAGCATATTTAAGTTAGTCTAATGTTAGGATTTTCCCCCCCTCCCCTTGAGGTTTTTGTTTGTTTTCATTTTTGGTGTGGTGCACAGTTTCAAATCTAGGGCCTTGAGCATGTTAGGCAAGTGGCTGTACCGCTAAGCCATATGTATCTCTGGCTTCCATTTTTGCCCTACTTATCTGTATTTTTAATCCTTTTCCTTATTGCATCATATGTGTCTTTTAGGACTGGGATTGAACCCAGGGCCTTTGTACTAAGCTACCTCCCCAGCCCTTAAAAATTTTTTTATTTGCTGGATGTGGTGGTACATGCCTATAATCCCAGCACTCAGGAGGCAGAGGCAGGAATATCCCCATGAGTTTGAGGCCAGCTTGGACTATGTAGTGAGTTCAAGGCTAGGCTGAAGTGCATAGCAGTACCCTGTCCCTTGTATTTTTGGTACCAGGGATCAAACTCAGGACCTTGCACTTTCGAGGCAGGTGTGGGCACCACTGAGCTAAGTCCCCGGCCCTCTAAATGAATGAATGAAAATGAATTTTTAAAAAATTTTGTGACAGGGCTGGGGATTTAGCTCAGTGGTGTAGCGCCTGCCTGGCAAGCGCGAAGCCCTGGGTTCGATTCCCGGTACCAAAAAAGAAAAGTGGAAAAAAAAGACCAAAAAAAGAAAAAAAAGCCCCTAAAAAAGAAAAAAATTTTTGTGACAAGGTTTTGCTAAGTGACTTAAGTTGTCCAGGCTGGCTCAAATTTGGAATCCTCCTGCCTCAGCCTCCCAGAGTGCTAGGATTACAGGTATGTATCACTATACCTGGTTCCTGCGTGTAGTTTTTCTTAATGAGATATTTTATTCTTATGCACACGTACACATTTATTTATGTGCATGTGTATATGGGTACCTAATGTAGAAAGGCAACAGGAGTGTTAATGTACTTATAGTACTTTAAAAATAGAAGATTCAAGATTCCCTATTTGCCCATCCCTGATTACATCATCACTTTCTTCTTTTAATTAAGTGTTCTATACCTAATTTAAAACTGCTTTCAGCCAGGCATGATAGTGTATGGCTATAATCCCAGCTACTTGGGAGGCTGACAGGAGATATGAAAGTTCAAGGCCAGCCTGAGCAATTTAGCAAGACTCTTATTTCAGATTATTTCAAATGAAATTGATGAGGATGTACTTCAGTGTCAAAGCCTTGAGTTTAATCCCTTTTTCCGCAAAAGCAAGACAAACCAAATTGCTTCTGGATTTTTTTTTTTTAATTTTAATATCCTCCCCCTTTTGTTTTGTTGGTTTTTGAGACAGGGTCTGGCTTTGTAGTGCAGGCTGGCCTTGAACTCACTATGTAGCCCAGGCTGGCCTCAAACTAATCCTCACCTCAGTCTCCTGAGTGCTGGGATTACAGGCGTGGGCTACCACACCTAGCTTTGTTTTGTGTTTTGAGACAGGGTCTGGCTATGTAATTCAGGCTGGCCTTGAGCTCACTGTAGCCGAGCCTGGCCTGGAATTTGAGGTGGTCCTCCTGAGTGCTGGGATTACAGGCTTGCACCACCATGCCTGGCTCCCCTTCCTTTTTTTAAAATGAGTATATGTTTAGAATACATAATAAATATATTCATGGGGAAGTGGTACTTACATATCCAATCTCGATCCTTTTTACTTCCCCCTTTTCCCTCCTCCTCCCCATCTCCTCCCGTTCTGGGATATTTTTGTCTTTTTGAGACAAGGTCCTGCTGTGTGTGTAGCCCAGGCTGGTCTGAGACCCATAATCCTCCTGCCTTAGCTTCCCCATTGCTGGGATTCCAGTCTTGTATCACCTGAGTGGCTGCTTCTTCATTTTTTAACTCATTCTTTTTTTGTACCAGGGATCAAATTTAGGACCTTGCCCTTGGGGAGGTAGGCAGGGCACCACTGAGCTAAATCTCTGGCCCTTAACTCAGACATTCTTTATTCTCTCAATTGGCTATTGCCATGACTGATAGGATTAATACTTTGCTGGATTACTGTGATATATAAAGATGCAGATCCCAAGATTATTTTTGTTTTTAATGTTTACTTTCAATGATGTTCACCTAGATGATCTTGCCATCTGGTCATCTTGACCAGGCAATGAAGAAAATTAAAAGGCAATAAAAGCTTCAGCATTTAGAGATAATATATTTTTGGCTTTAATTGTCCACCACTGTGCTTTTATTTAAGTCAAGGACAAGTACAGTGATGGTCTTACACAAACTTTTTTTATAGAGACTAGTTATTCTCTTTCTTATGGCTTGATTCTAGCTAAAACTTAGTAAGGTTGTTAAACCTGTTTGTTTCTTAGGACAGATAGTTAAGTCTTCTGACCTGTTTTCTGAATGAACCTTTGCTAATTGAATTCATAGAAAAATACAACCTATTAGAAATTGAGTTGAACTTTACTATATTAAAAATATACTTCTAGCCAAGCATGGTGGTATACACCTGTAATCCAAGCACTCTGGGAGGCTGAGACAGTATGATTGCAAGTTTATCCCAGCCTGAACAACTTAGCCACTTAGCTGAGACCCTGTCTTAAAATAAAAAATAAAAAGAAAGGGCTGGGGGTGTAGGTCAATGTGAATGTCCTGGGTTCAATCCCTAGTGCTGCACTCCTTGCTCCAGTTACATTTCTGATTTTTCTAATATTAAAGGTTTGGTCTATAAGTTTGTAAATTGAACTATTCACATTTTCTTCTTGATGTGGATATGGAAGGCCAATTTGAATTTATATATTAAATACAGTTGACTTCTTGTTAGGAATTTGAATTTTGTTAGGAGTGAAGACCACACAGTCTTACTGAAATTGGTATAACACTTATTTTGCTAACTATATTGAATGAAATAGTTGTTAAAACAATTTCATGTATTTTCCTTTAGAACTCAGTGCCCCAAAACCTATAAAAGCAGGAATACTCAAGACAAAGAAATCCAACAAGGTACGTCTTTTCAGGAAATATTCTTTATTTTTTATATATATGTATTTTTTTGGTACCGGGGATCGAACTCGGGTCCTTGCGATCAGGAAATATTCTTAACTCCGTTCATTTTGAAAATTGTCATTAGGGTCTCAGATAATTATATTAGTTAGAAGTTAATAGTATAGAGCAGTGGTGACGAACCTTTTACAGCTTTCAGTGATGACACCCCCCCCACTGTTACCCAAGTGCCAATTTGCCACTGCTGTTCTAAAGAATTGTAGCCTTTATTCCTACATCCCCATAGACTTCTGTTATCATGATCATGTGTGTCTGAGTAATGTCATGTACTGCTCAGTTTGCTCATGAGACCAAAACATCTTTATTTCATAGTGTTTTGTTTTTTTGTTGATACTGGGGATCAAACTTGGGACCTTGTGCTTGGTAGGCAGGCCGTGGAACCACTGAGCTAAATCTCCAGCCCTCAAAGTATTTTGTTTGTTTGTTTGTCTTTGTGGTATTGGGGGGTGGGGGGATTGAACTCAGGACCTAGCGGTTGTGAGGCAGGCGTGGCGCCACTGAGCTAAATCAAGTGTTTTGTTTGGCGAAACTTTTGAGTTCATTTGGCAAATACCTTTATATCTAAATATATATGGGTGATTTTTAAAATTGCTATCACTTTTAGCAAATATCTTTTCTATTTAAACATTGAAAAATAGAATCTGCAGACATAACATTTATGTATTATTTTTTTAGCTCAGCGATTTCAGCGATATGGCTCTTTGGCCAACACCAGGTGAATTAGTGAACACTGGAGTAAGTATTATTTTAAGGCCTTTAAAAGTTAAAAGGCACATATTCTCATTTTAACATGCAGAATTTATTTTACTTAAAATCTAAGCCAGGCATGGTGGTACATGCCTATAATCCCAGCACTTTGGGAGGCTGAGGCACAAAGAGCACGAGTTTGAGCCCAGCGTGGGCAATTTAACAATGTGAGCAAAATCATGTCTCAGATTTAAAAAAGGTTGGGGATGTAGCTCAGAAAGTCCTGGGTTCAATTCCCAGTGCTGCAAGAACAGACAAACCAACCTAAAAAAATTTCACTGTGAAGGACATATGTACAAACTTAATCTATTGGTAAGAGTACTTTTATGTTTAATTCCTAGTCATCTTTTGATGTTGTCAGTAGTATTAGTAATGAACTTGGTGACTGAAGTGTTTCCTACAGTAAGCTTTACCTGTTATTTCTGTAATAATGAACATGTTACAAATGATAATGAATCAAGACTTTGTATTCTTACTAAATTATATACACTGATAAAGAGGTGTTGAAAATTTGGCAGCTACCCTTTTCATAGTCTTTATCTGTTTTTCAGGTGCCTTTTTTTTCCTTTTTTTTCCAGTAATGGGAGTTGAACCCAGAGCCTTTGCACTAAACTACACCCCCAGTAGCCCCTCCCCTCTTTATTAAGGGTTTTTTTAAATTTATTTTTTTGGTACTGGGGATCGAACTTGGGTCCTTGCACTTGCAGGTGGTGGAATCACTGAGCTAAATCCCCAGCCTTATTAAGGTTTTTTGAGACAAGGTCTCACTATGTAGTTCAGGCTGGCCTTGAACTAAGTCTGTAGCCCAGGCTGGCCCCAAACTCAGTTTTAACAATAACCCACAACCTTCGGACCAACTTGGCCTCAAACTCAGAGATCCTCCTGCCTCGACCTCCAGAGTACTGGGATTACAGGGATGTGTCACCATGTCTGGCCAGGTGCCTGATTTCTTTCATCATATTTCCCTCATCTGGTTGTATTCCTAGGTTGAGAGCAGGGTGAGGTGTGGGAGTTGATAGAGGTACCTGTCTGTCACCACGCTGTAATGCTTATGGAAAAGATTTTTTAACATGTCAACTGAAGCCTGTTTCATGTTTGAAAGTTTGTACTATAAGTATGTCATCTTTTTTGGGGGGTACTGGGGCTTAAACTCAGGACCTTGTGCTTGCCAGGCAGATGCTGTGCCTGCTGAGCTACAACCCTGGCCCAAGTGTGTCTTTGATTATAATTTTTTCACTGGGTCAAAGAGCTAAGTGTACATGCATATACATGCATGTATATATGTGCACATATGTATCAATGTTACGAAGTGTGCAGTGAATGGATTTTTAATTTTAACTGAAAGAAGCTCTGAATGATGGCTCTAATGTACCCTATCAGGAGACTTTTTGGAGGGGCAGCCTCTGTGGTTACATGTTTTCATTTGACTCTGTACCCTTTGCTGTTTGTAATTTGTATAGTATTAGTGGTATGTCATTGTAGGTATATTAATTTAAATAGCTTAGCTTGAGGTATAAATGACAGAATAAACTGCACATATGTAAAGTATATAGTTGAATGAGTTTTAACTGGTATATACCTATGAAAATTTTACTACCATCAAGATAATGAGTTTAACCACTACCCCTGAAAGTTTTTTCATTATATCCTTTTGTAATTCTTTGTGTCCTATTCATCATCCCTGCCATTCCAGCAACCACTGACTGGTATGTTCTGTCGTATAGTACTTTTTCTTTTTTTTTTTTTCCCCAGTACTGGAGAGTGAACCCAGGGCCTTCACACTGAGCTGTATCCTCAGTGCTCCCCCCCCTTCTTTTTTGAGAGAGGGCCTCAGTAAGTCACTAACTTGCTCAGGCTGGGCTCAAACTTGTAGTCCTCATGCTTCAGCCACCCAGAGTTCCGGGATTACAGGCATACACCCCCACACCTGTATTCTTTTTTTTTTGGCTTTCACTTGGCATAATCATTTTGAGATTTATTCCCATTTTATTTGTCAGTAGTTCATTTTGTTTCATAGTAGTATTCCACTGTGTGATTGAAACGCAGTTTGTCAATTTAATTATAATTGATGGACATTTGGATTGATTCCAGTTTTGGGTATTACAAATAAAACTTCTGTATAAACATCTGTGTACAAAATTTTACATGGACATATGCTTTCATTTTTTTTCTTGGTAGATAAATAGGAGTAGAAAAACTGCATCATATGATACCTATTTGTTTAGCTCTTTAAGGACCTACTAGGCCGAGTGTGGTGGTATATACCTGTAATTCCAGCAGAGGTGGAGGCAGGAGGATCCCCACAAGTTTGAGGCAAAACTGGGCTACATAGTAAGTTTGAGGACAGCCTGAACTGCATAGCAAGACTCTTTCAAAATGATAAAAAAAAAAAAAAAAAAATTAACCACCAAACTTTGTTTTTTGGTACCAGGGATCAAACTCGGAACCTTGTGCTTTCGAGGCAGGCGGCGGAACCACTGAACTAAATCCCTGGCCCACCACCAAACTTTGTACTCCCACCAGGAGTGTATGAGAATTCCAGTTAATTTACATCCTCATTAATTTTTTTTTTTAGAGACATGGTCTCACTTAGCTCACGCTAGTCTTGGACTCACTGGGTAGCCTAGTCTATCTAGCCTTGAACTCAGGAAGATTCTCCTGCCTCAGCCTCAGAGTGCTGGGATTACTGGTATGTGCTACCACGGCCAGTTTGGCTTTGAATTTATGATCTCTTCCCTCAGCTTTCTGAGTGTTGGGATTATAGGCATGTGGCAGCACATTGGGCTGTTCTTTTTGTTACTGAGGCATTGAGCTCAAGGCCTAGCCCCAGCCCTTTTAACATTTTTTAATATTTTGAGGCAGGGTCTGGTCTGGCTAAGTCGCTGAGTGGCCCAGGCTGGCTCCAGTTTGTAGCCTCAGCCTCCCAGAGTGTTGGAATGCACTTCATGCCACAAGCTGTAATCCAGCACTCAGGGAGGCTAAGGCTGGAGGATCACCAGTTCATGCCCTGTTTGAGCAATTTAGTAGCTTAGTGTGAAGGTCCTGCGTTCAACCCCCAATACTGGGGGAAGAAAAAGGTAATCTTTTTTTTGTAGTTCTTTGTAGTACTCAAGGTTGAACCCTCAGCTTCAAGTGTGGTAGATATGCACTCTACCACTGAGCTACAGCCCCAGGTTGGATTTATTTTCTTATTACTTAATTTTGAGTGTTCATTATACATTTACATATAAGTCCTTTATCAAATACTTAGCAGGTATTTTCTTCTCCCAGCCTGCATTTTGACTTTTTTTTTTCTCTTCATGTTTTCTTTTGAAAAGTAGTTTATTTATTTAGTTATTTATTTTTGGTTTTTGGAGACAGGGTCTCACCGTGTAATTGAGACTAGCCCTGAATTCACTGTGTAGCCCAGGCTGGCCTCAAACTCGTGGTGATCCTCCTGCCTCAGCCTCTTGAGCACTGTGATTATAGGTATGCACCACCAAGCCCAGTGAAATGTAGTTTTTTATATTTCATAAATTTGTCATTTGTTTTACAATATTTAGGTAAGTTATATTATAGATTTTTAGATATGCTCGTGAAAATGTTAATGAAAAATTATTTTGTTCAGAAAACCTTTTGTAGTTTCAGAGTGTCCTAAGCCAAGGAAGTAAGAAGCCACAAATTAGAAAAGAAAAAGAAGAGAAGATTGAAAAGAGAAGTAACAGCGAGAGCAAAGAAAACCGGGAAACAAAATTCAATGGTCCTGGTGAAAATGTGAGTGAGAATGAGGCTCAATCAAGTAATCAGCGAAAGAGAGGTCAGTTACCTGCATCTTCCTCTTGATGTTAAAGTTTTGAAGAAAGTTGTAGTAATCAATACTTGTCTGTGGTCTTCATCAGTGGATAAACCATCTGCCTTAGTTACTTATTTGTTATTGTAACATTTCTGGACTGGTAGGCTTTCCTTTTCTTTCCTGCACTCATATGCTGCTGTATGCAAGAAAATGGGATGAAGTTCCGGTTGTAGCTTTGTTGGTAGTAGATACAAAAAGCTGTGTGATTACTATTCTTTTATATCTGCTTTGGAACTGCTCCCTGTTTCTTATGGAGTTTTGAAGAAATGAAGTTTTTCAGGACTCATTTTTCTCAGAGAAAATAGAGGACATTTTTAGTTGCCTTTTTCCTTCATTTGCTAAAAATTACACTTTGAAGGGAAAAGAATTGTCTTTACATCCTTTTCCATTTTCTCCTCTGTACTTTTCATGTGTCTAGAGACAGATAATTTGCCTGCTTTGTAAAAGCATTTACTCTTCAGTGTTTTTAGCCCAGAGAACATGGCAGAGAAGCTGAGAGATGTAGACATGGTCCATAGCCCAAATGGCCTGGTAACTTGGAATTAATGAATTTATTTATTTAAAGTACTGGGGATGAAACCCAAAGCCTCACACATGCCAGGCAAGTGCTCTACTTGAGTTATCCCAGCTCTATCACTTTATTTATTTATTTTTTCTATCTATCACTTTATTTTGAGTGCCACAGAGGCCATTGAAACATTTGCTCCATGGTAAATACAACATGTAAATACACAGTATGTGAAGGCACAGTAAATACAACAACATGGGAGGGGAAGTTAAATGGCATAATAGATGCCAGACAACTTCTTAATTCTGGAACTAACAGGCTGTCATATACTGAGCACTTAGTTGAATAATTTGCTTTTTTCCTGAATATTTTATTTGCTGCAGGATATGTATTAGGATCCCTTGATACAGTAAGCAAGGCTTAATTGCTGAAAAGTAGATAAAACAGGGCAACCAAGTATTGTTAGAAAAACTTCACTTCTTAACCGCTTTATCACTTTTTTTCTGCTTCCTAGAGACATAAGTAGTGTTTAGCTGTCTAGAATTCATACAGATGATGGACCTGACATCCTAAAATTTGTCCTGCTTATTAGTTGCTTCTATTGAAAATTGATTGGTTAACACTATCAACCAGATATTTTGAAGAGTATTCATAAAATCAAGCTGTGAATTGATCTCCTAGAGAATATACTTCTGTTTTTTGTTTTGTTTTGTGTTTTTGGTTATTTATTTTTGAGACAAGGTCTCCCCATGTAGTTCAGGCTGGCCTTGAACTCGCAGTGATCCTTCTACCTCATCCTCCCAAGTGCTGGGGCTACAGACATGCGCCACCACACCTGCCAAGAGTATATTTCTTACATGGAAAGAAGGGCTTGCTTATGCCTGGGAATGTTGTTGATAGAATTTATGAAAGGTTTTAAAGAGTTTTTAAGATTTTTTTTCATGTTCTGTGTCCTTCATCTGATCCATAGGTTTATGGGATTTATAGGAAATCAGTACTTAATTGACACTATTACTTCTTTTCCCTTAATTATTTTGTAGTTTTTCCTTTGCCTTGAGCCTTTTTATTTTAGTAAAAAATGTCAGTTGGGCAGAACAATGAATAAGAAACTTTAACTTTGGAATTCATGAAAATCTTCAAAAATTTTACTCTAGGGAGCCCAGGGATTTAGCTCAGTGGTTTTGCCACCTGCTGCGCAAGTGCAAGGACCCGAGTTCAATCCCTGATACAAAATTTAAAAAAAATTTTACTCTAGGGCCGGGGATTTAGCTCAGTGGCACCGTGCCTGCCTCACAAGCGCAAGGTCCTGAGTTCAAGCTCCAATACCGGAAAAAAAAAAAAAAAATGTGCTCACTTCAGCAGCACAATATACTAAAATAATTCTAATAGCATTCCACCATTGGCTTTTCACTTGATTTTTAGACATTTAACTTAAGTAAGTTTATCAAATATCTATGTGAAACAGGAAAAGATTCTTTTGGTACTTTACAAATAATCCCTGTAAGCTACTGAGTTAAAATTCGTAATGCTTTCAGAATTGCAAAGCTTTAGTGAAAATTGTGCATTGCCACTAAATGATTTTATCTTGTTTTCTTTAAGCTAATAAGCACAAGTGGGTACCGCTCCACTTAGATGATCTTAGGCCAGACAGCCAAGAAAGATCTGGATCCCGGAATAACTCAAGATGTCAAGCTGAAGCAAATAAGTCAGCACATAATAATAGGAGAAATGATACACAAAGTAAGTTACATTCTAAGAGAAATATGACTAAAAAACTTAGCTGTAGTGCTTATTGTATTAGTAACTATAATATAAACCATTTGAGAGTAAATTGCAGACACTTTGTCTATTTAACCATAAATGCCTATGGCCATAGTTCATAAAAACAGTATAACCACAGTTTTAAAATTTTTATTTTTGAGGTACTGAAGATCGAAGCAAGGGCCTTGTGCATGCTAGGCAAGTGGTCTACCTCTGAGCTATATTTCCAGCCCCTTTTAATTTTTATTTGCATACAGGTCTTGCTAAGTTGCCTTGGCTGGTCTTGAACTTGTGATCCTACTGCCTGATCCTCCAGAGTAGATGGGATTATAGTGTGCACCATTGCTTCTGGTTTCCATAGCACAATTAACACTGAAGTTTAACCATTCATGGGCAGATTTTTCTCTCTTATTTCCTTACCTCCCCCACCCCTGGGACTACACATTGTCTTCAGTTGCTTTTTCTCTTTAGATTCTGTTTTTTTTTTTTGGTACTGGAATCAAACTCAGTACCTTGCACTTGCAAGGCAGGTGTGGTGCCACTGAGCTAAATCCCCAGCCTCTAGACTGTCTTTGTCTAACAGTTCTCTTGGTTTGTCTTTCATGACTTTGATTTTTTATTTTTAAGATTATAGGATAGTTTGCCATAGATACTCTTCACTTTGTTTTCTGGTGCTTCCTTATGATTGGTTTTGGGCTGTGAGGTTTTGACAGATACAGTTTTCCTGTTAGTGCACGTAATTTGAGAATGCATATGATACTGGTTTGAACCCTTAGTTGAGTTGGTCAAGTACTTCAGATTTTTGACTCTAAAGATGCTCTTTCCTCCTTTGTGATTAGTATATACTTTGTGAGGCTTTGAGGCTGTGGATATGATTATTCATCAGATTTTTTCACAGGAGCTTTAGCTTCCAGGAATGATTCTTGCCAAATTGAGTTATTATTATGATGATTACAGATGCTGGGTTTTTTTTATTGCATTGTTTTTATGAATTTTGAAAGGAATAACTTCTGTTAACATTGTGGATTCATAGCTTCTTTATTTAATGTGTTATAACTTAATATGATAATTACACTTCATTTTTAAACTTCCAGATTTGGCTTATGGGAGCCTCTTCTCGATAGTTTATCCATTTTCAATTTTTGTTTCATTTTGTTTTGGTTTTCTATGTAGTCCTGGAAATGAAACTCAGGGCTTGTGGGCAAGTACTCTACCACTGAGCTACACTCCAACCCTTGGGTCCTTTTTTCAACAAACAGCTCTACTGGTCATAGTGGCGCACACCTGTAGTTCCAGCTACTCTGAAGGCAGGAGGATCATAAGTTTCAGGCCAACCAGGGGAAGACCTTGTCTGAAAAAGGGTTGGGGATGTAGCTCAGTAGCAAAGAGTACTTGCTAGCATGTGCAAGGCCCTGGGTTCAATTCCTGGTACTGATAAATGTATATGTCTGTCTCAACCAACCCTAACCACTAGTCTGCTTTCTGTCATTGTAGGACACTTTTTGAGAATTTCATGTAAATGTAGCTATACAATATGCTTTATGTACTTTGGTTTCCTTGTGCTCAGCACTTTTTGGGGAAGGGGAGGGCGATTTGAGACAGGATCTTGCTATGTAGTTCAGGCTGGCCTTGAACTTACTATGTAGTCCAGCCTGGCCTTGAATTCATGGCGATCCTCTGCCTCAGCCTCTCAAGGGCTGGGATTACATGTGTGCACCACCACACTTGGCTCCTCAGCATTGCTTTTTTTTTTTTGGTACTGGGGATTGAACTCAGGACCTTGTACTTGCGAGTTAGGCTCAGTGCCGCTGAGTTACATCCCCAGCCCTCAGCATTGTTTTTTTAGATTCATCTATATTGTTCCATGTATTAGTAGTTTTTACCTCTTTATTGCCTAATAGTATTCTTTTGAATGGATAAACTCCTTTATCCATTCATTTGTTGATGGATAATTGGCTTTGCCTACTTTTGGGCTATTAAGAGGCAAATGCGCATGGCATCATACTTTTTTTTTTTGCTGTACTGGGGATCAAACTCAGGATCTTGCTAGTGCTCTACCACTGAGCTACTTTGTTTCTTAAGTAAATGCCGATGAGCAGATTGATTGCTCCATCCTGTGGTGTGTTAGCTTTCTGTCACTGACAAATATCTGACATAGTTGACTCATGAAGTAAGGAGAAGTTTATATTGGCTTCCAGTCCGAGATCCATGGCCCAGTTGGTTTGGGCCTATGGTGTCAGAGGAAAGGTCACATGAATAGCCAGGAAACAATCCGGACAGGGTCCTGCAGTCCCTTCCCAAGGTATGCCTCAGTGACCTGCCAACGGTTCCACCATCTCCCAGTAGTGCTACTCTGAGGACAGCCAACATCCAGATTGTACTTTATGAGCAGGGTGTGGTGGCACTACTTATATCCCCAGACTCTGGGCAGCTGAGGCAGGAAAATTGCAAATTTGAGCCCATCCTGGGCAAATTAGAGACTTAGTCATTGACTTCAGTAAGAAATAAGGGTAGAGAATTTACCTCAGAACAAAGGCCCTAGGATCAATCTCCTGTACCATAAAAATAAATAAAAATTTAAAAAATTCCACATCTGAGTACGGTGGTGTTCATCTGTTGTCCAAGTTACCTATGAGCCTGAGGTAGGGGGCGGTCACTTGAGTCCATGAGTTCGAGACTAACCAGGACAGCATAGCAAGGCTCCAACTCAAGAACAAAACAAAACAAAAACCCTCAAATATAAAAAAGTCATTTTATAGGTATGTTTCAACAGGGTGTGCTTAGATTTCAGAAAGCAGAGGACAAGAGGATGTGTGAAATAGAATGATCATTTGGTTTTAAAGATTTTTGCTACAACCTTATAAGCCTGATAAGGCATGTGTTCTGTGACTGAATCAGAAGACAGTTTTTTTCTTTTAAAAACATAATATTTAAAAATTTCCAATTACAAAAAACTTTTATTTAAATTGTTTAAGTCAGAGTCTTGCCTGTGCACTTCAGGCTGGCCCTGAACTCATTATTACAGGCATGCACCACCATGCTCAGCCTGGAAAATTTTAAATGTGGAAAGAATTATACAGTGAATACTGCCTAACCATTATCTAGATTTAGTAATTTTGTTGTATTTTTTTGTGCTGAATTATTTGAAAGTAACTTCATCAGTGATATCCTAAAAAAAGTATCATCTATGAAAATCGCTAATTTCCGTGTCACTAACAATGTTGTCAGATTTTTCTGTTATTTATAAAATACCACTTTTAAATTATAAGACTTAAAAAGACCTTTTTGCCTTTTCATTTTTAAAAAAATACATCATGTGGGCCAGGGATTTAGCTCAGTGGTTCCGCTGCCTGCCTTGCAAGCACAATGTCCTGAGTTTCATCCCCAGTACCAAAACAAAAAAATATATCATGTAAAGGTTTTATTATAAAAATACTGGATACTCTTAAATTTTTAAAATATTTAATTAAAATATTGAGACTATAAGAAAATTTGCAAGTGAAGTCATAAAGAATAATAATATAACAAACCTGGAAACTTAGTACGCTAAACACACATTAGCTGGCCATGGTGGTGCATGCCTACATTCCCAGCACTCGGGAGGCAGAGGCAGGAGGATCGCCACAAGTTCAGAGCCAATTTGGGATACATAGTTCAAGGCCAGTCTAAACTACATAGACTCTTTGAGAAAAGAAAAGAAAAACAAAACACCCAAGGAACATAAGTTAAACTTCCCTGTGTGTCCTGTGCATTGTCATCCCATTGCCTCCTCTCTGAGAAAAAATATGCTTGAATGTCTTAGTTTTTTGCATGTTTTGAAATTGCAGTATGATTTCATTAACAAGTTCTTTGGCAGCAGTTTTTTCACTTAGTCTTAATTTTCTGAGATTCATACATGTTGGTTGTCTTGCTGTAATTCATTCTTTTTCTTTCCTTCTGCTAAAAGATATTTCACTATTTGGTAAAATCAGTTTACTGTGGGTGGACATTTGAATCGTTTGTATTTTTTCATACTGAAGTACCACCATGAATATTTTAATGCATGTGTAATATCACACAAGTGCAAGAGGCTCTCTGTGATAATGTTTTCAGGCTGCAGACTGAAACCTGTGTGAGGAGTAGGAAATTCGTATATGAGGTCATGATCTGGTTTTTAAAAATGTTGATAGAGTACTTAGTAAATATTTTTTCACAGTATTTGTATTTTATATTAAAGTTTTTTGTAAGTTGATTGGGTTATGATACAAAGCTTATGCAGATTCCAGCAGAAATGTTTGAAAAAGACTGTTTTATGGGAAGCATCAGGGATGGACTTTAGAGAGCCTAGGGCAGTGGTTCTCCGGGGGAAGATTTTGGGATGTGTGAAGATACTATTGATTGCCACAACTGGGGTACTGCGAGAACACTCCTGGTATCTGGGGGTGGAGAGGATGGATGATGCTAAACATCCAGTGCTCAAGACCCCTCTGCCCCACACACTCAAAGAGTCAGAAGTTCTAAGGTTGAGAATGCTTGTTCTGGGATTTGCTTATCTTTACATTTATTAGATTATTCTGTTTAAAGTTTTTCACTCTTATTTCCAGTATACAAATGCTCTATCTTTTCTGTTTGATATTACAGGATCTTAAAATGTCTTCTAGACTTGGTAGATGAAAGACTCCTTCATTATCTTGATTTCATTTTTCATGGGCAGTGAGGTGGAGCTTCATTTTCTATGTTCATTGGCCATTTGTGTATTTATTTGCCCTACTAATGTTTTAGTCATTTTCTTTTTTCTCTGTGTGTGTCTTGTATTTGTGTGAAAGTAATATGAGTTATTATATGTACTATATTGTAGATATAACTCCTATATTGTATTTCATGTATCTTTTCTTATTTTCTTTGTAATATTTTTCTTTTTTTTTTATTTTTGGTACCAGGGATTGAACTCAGGTCCTTGCGGTTGTGGGTCAGTGGCAGAACCACTGAGCTAAATCCCTGGCCCTGTAATGTTTTTCTTTAAATGGAATGTCTTATATATAAACACCCTTAAACATTTTATGAAAAAGTTGTTTGTTTGTTTTTTGTGGTACCAGGGATCAAACTCAGAACCTTGCACTTTTGAGGCAGGCACGATGCCACTGAGCTAAATCCCTGGCCCTTTTATTGGTTTTTTGAAACAGGGTCTTGCTATGTAGTTCAGGCTGGCTTCAAACTCACGGTGATCCTTCTGCCTCAGCCTTTTGAGTACTGGGACTACAGGCATGCACCACCACCCCCAGCTTGAAAAGTTTTTGTTTTTGTTTTCTTTTGAGTTGGGTCTTTTTTCTCTTCTCTCCTCCCTCCTCTCTCCTGTCCTCTCCTCTCTCCTCCTCTCCCATCTCCTCCTTTTCTCTCCTCCTCCCGCCTCTCTCCTCCCTCCTGTCTCCCCTCTCCCCCTCTCCCCTCTCCTTTCTTTTTATTTTTGGTGGTTTTGGGAATTAAACTGAGGGCTTTTGGAGTCAGTTGCTCAGCCCAGGCTTGAACTTTTGATCCTGCTGTCTTAACCTCCCAGAGTGCTGGGATTAAACCTGTGTGCCACCACATCTAGCTTTAGGAATATTTTTTTTTTTTTTT